TGGCTGGGGAATTCTGGGAGTTGAAGTCCACACATCTTCAAGTGGCCACGGTTGAGAAACATTGGGTTATACGGAGGCTTTCAGATAGATCCAATGTAAGTCTCGTGAGGAGTGATTGGATCTGGCTGGATTTCCCACAAGGTTAGTTGAAACACTAAAACTGTACAGATCTCTCTCAGCTCCGTGGAGGAAAAGTTTAATTGGTGTTAAACGTTATGCCACCAGCTGGACAGAAAGCCCGTTTTAATAGATATTTAAAAGAGACGGTTGGCGCAAAGAAGAACTCGTCAAATCGCAAACGTAAAGCGACCGATTTGCCTACTAAACCACCGCCGAAGGAATCGCGTCATTCACTAATATTAAAGCGCCTCCCTGCTCACGCATGCGCAAGAGGCCGCCGTCCTTCCCACGTGGGCCGCCTTGTATACTCTTTTGTCTGGCTTCGACGAAGGCCCTCCTTTCTGAGAAGGAAACGCGATTGAATACTAAATGCTTATTGGTTCATATTAGCCCAGCTGACCAGAAACCGCATTCTGATTGGCTGCTTTGAGGGACGGCGTCCCTTTTCGTCCGGAGGCCGGGTTGCTTCTCTCCTGCTCCGGGCGGTCAGTGAAAGCGGTTCCGTGCGAGCGGTTACCGTAACAGTTGGAGAAGAGGTACGGCTTCGCGGTTGGCGCTTTAGGTTGGGGAGGCGCTTTTGTCTGGGGAGCCCTTAGCCCGGCAGCGCCGGTTGCCCGGGAGTTGCTCCTTTGAGGGGGAGGGTCTTAAAGGATCAGCAGTGATCAGTCAACTCTTTTCATCAGCCTCTCTCAAGTGAGAAAGTGGCTTTAGTTGGTTAGTACAGTTCAGGCTTCAAAAGCGTCCACGTCTTGTGGTATATCCATCTTTGGGTACTATATGCTGGTGAAGGAGGAAGGAGAGGGCCATTGTCGCCTGTGGCCCTTCCTTGGGGCCATCTGTCTGAATAAACAGGCTCTTCTTTGGTTTTAATCAGAGAGGCAATTCTTGCATAATGGAGGGCAAGATATCTTTCTAATAGTTGAGAAGGAGGAATGTGTAGGAGAGGAGTTTCGCCAGGTGCAGGATTTAGTCATGAACTAGTAGGATGGTAACTGTGATATGCCTACCATCATTTACATATTTTTAACTATGAGCAAACTGAATTGTTTAATTCGGTAAAATAAATTTCAGACAGCTGTTGAAAAAGCACGTGAGGAAAAAAAACAAATACCCTAACTGCTAGTGAGAAATGAATTTACAAAGCAGTGAAATCTTTCAAGTGGCAAATCCTAATGGTAGATTGTACAGAATGTAAGTTGCAACCAGGGAGACCCAAATTCAGTCTCCACTTTGCCCTGAAACTCACTGGGTGAGCGTGGGCCAATTATGAACTCTGCCTAGATGGATGTCAGAATAAAATGAGAGAGATGGGAAGGACCATGTATGTTAACTTGGATGATTTGAAAAAAAGGAAGAATAAAAATAAAATAAATTGTTATATAGGAAGCAAAGTTGCTTGCAATTCCATTATAAAAATGTAGTAACTTGAATGTTAAACATACTGTGCTAAGAAACTTACCTTCTAAGATCCATGATTTCTAAATTGTTATATCCAACAAGGTTTCCTCTGGGGCATTTGTCAATGCAACAGTATATTAAATCAGTACATAAATATAATTGTGAATTATTTTTAATTAAAAGCTATATGTAGGTTTTCCTTAATGAACAAAGATGGGAAATCTAGAAGAAAGAAAAAGGAAGAAATTAACTCACAAGTGATAAAACTACTCTTGCCTTAATCTTTTAATGAGGGTTCATTAAATTGTAGGTGGAAAGTAAATACATAGGTAGTATTCATGTATCTGCAAATAGGTCATCTGGTTGCAGCCATAGCATGGGATATATATTTTGTTATCTGCATGATCTAGCGTCACCAAACAGGAAATGTTTGCAAAAGTCCTAATATATTTCTAGTAGTGCTAAGTTACTACTCAGTACCTGTTATAAGTTCAATTTAAAAGATTGGAATTCTTATTTTAGAGTCATATACCACTTTATTTAGTGGTAATTAACTATAAAATGCTTATTACTCTTGGACTTAAATACTTCTATTTACTGTCCTATCTCCTCGGTGACACTTCCTCCAAACTATTATAAATTGTGTATATATTTATACTTCATCTTCCCAAGACATTAGATTGTTGAGAGTGCAGCAAAGTGTTTCAAGTATCATAAAACTGATACCTTGTTATTTAAAGTAAAATTGATAAAAAGGGATTAAATAAATATTTGAAAATATTAGATGAAAATTCAAGATGATTTTTAGTCAGGCTACTTTTGGTGGTGTGTTTCTTTTGGAAGTCCTGAATATCTATGCTGATAATAGAGGAGATCTGTATGTAATAGTGAGTTGGAACAATTTATAATTTTCACCAGTGTCACCCTTTCCTTTACCTTTACCTTTACCTATTTATTTATTTATTTATTATTTTGGTTTTTAAAGCAGCAGTAGCCATGTACAAGATATCTACGAACCCTAAGGCTTCTGAAAATAAATAATTGTTCAGGTATGTAGTTAGAAAAAAAATTATGCTCATTGGACACAGAGTGCTCATTGACAGTTCACAAATAGGGAAATAGAAAATTGAGGATGAGAGAAGAATGGAATGAAGTATGGATTCCAAAGCAGGAATACTACATTATCCAACTTTTTAAGCAAGTTTTCTTGTAATTATGTAACTTTCATATAGTAAAAAGTGTGCAATTTACCATTTGCGGTAGTTTGCAGAAGTTTTTTTAAATTAAATATTCATTTTATTTTATATTGAATTAATTGAATAGCATACTTGAGCAGTTTTTAAAATTAATTTTGTGTCATTCTCTTCTTACAGGACCTTACTATGGCAAACAAGCTTTATATAAGTTTTCTTCACTTACTTTCCACATTCTTGTTTTGTCATGCTTCCTACCCTAGCTTGGAACCCACAGTTTCACAAACTACAGAGAAACTCATTCCCGAGAAGGCAGCTAGTATCAATATTAGCGTAGCTTTATGTAGGCAGAGACATCATCTTCAGGAGCTCTTCTCTCGTTATGGGGAGAACAATACATTGAATATTGAAGGGTTTAAAAAATTGCTACACAATATAGGCATTGAGAAAGTGAAAAGAATTTCTCTAGATCACAATCATTACCACCATCATCACAATCATGCTACGCTCAGGACAAACTCTGACAAAACCTATTGTCCTAGTGATGAATCTGGTAGTGGCAACAAAGATTTTTTGAATAATCCAGCAAAAGATGTGCCTGGAACAGAGAATATGGAGCACCATCAGCAAGAATCCATGAATAACAAGAGCACAACAGTTGCTATAACAACATCTACCTACACCACGGCTACAGAGGACAACTCTCTGCTACAACACTCAGAAACTGCAGAATTGTCAGCACGCATAGGCTTTGCCAGCCCCAATCCCAACATTGTTCTAGGAAGCAGCAGCAATGTGAGTTTGCTTGTAAACAGAAAAGCAAGTGTATCACTTGGTGAGGGAGGCTGAAACAGGAGGGTAAAATTAGCAAACAAATTACACAAGAAATATTTGGAAATAGGCTTTTAGGTTTTTTTAAAATCTGACGTTTGATGTACTTAGATTTTATTCTTTTAAAACCTTATTGGTTATTTAATTAGCTCTTTAATTTCTGGGTATTCTGACTGTTATTCCACTTCCAAAGAAATACCATCTAAGTTGGTTCAGATGCTTTCACACATCTTGCCTAGAGCTGCATGCTGAAGTTGTCTTTGTTCATAAGCCTGGTTAAGTGTTCTGGATTTCTCAAGGTGTGGATATTCTATCAAGATATCCATACTTTAAAACAATTATTTTAGAAAAATGGGCAGTATCTTCATCCTGATATGAGTATTATAACTAATACTTTTTATTGGTAAATCACACAAGAAATTAGCAATTCATTCTTGATTGCTAGAAGAATTTCAACTCAGTCAACTTTACAGTATATTACTCTGACAATAGCACTTTTATTTATTTTTTAAAAAGATTTTCGTGATCTTGAATAGAAGACAAGATTAATTTCAGAATAAGCCAAAATGCAAAACGTTCTTATGCTTCGTAAAATAAAACATGATAAAAATAGTATTGTAGTCCATAGCTGGAAAGCCTGCTGTATTATCTATTCTCTGTCAATAAACCGACATAACACAATGTTTCACTTTCAGAATTAACTCTAATCTCACTCAGGCATTCCAAATAAATATGCATTTCATCACTAATGAATAGCTTTTTACAACTCTTTCATGCTCACATTTAAATGTACTAAGTATATTAATGCTTACATGCCAGCAGCTGGTGATTTTGATGAGTGTACTGAGATGTTTAGACAATCACAGGTTCACCAGTACAGTGGTACCTTGGTTCACGAACGCTTCTATTCACGAACAATTCAGTTCACGAACAGCTCCGTTCGCAAAATTTTGCCTCCGCATTCGCGAATGCTAGATCAGGTGACGAACAGGATCCACAGCCATTTTCACTCCCGTGACACGTGGTCGCGGCTTCCTGTAGGGAGGGGGACTCTTCCTCCAAGCAGTAACCGCCTCCCCGCCCGCCCTCCTGTCGCCAGAAGTCGCGTCGAGCAAGGTTAGCTTTCTCTCTCTTCGTACTGTACTTTGTGTCATATTTTTGCGGTTTAAAAAAAAAAACACATATGGTTCAAAATGGATTAACCGTAATTACATTGAAC